TGTTAGCAAATCCTTGTTTACACAGAACCTGCACGCCTCCTTGGACCTATTTCTCATTAGTGGTACTTTTGCCAGCCCCCCACTCCCCACCTTTGAAGTTCTGTGAGGTTTTTTCAGCAGAGATCTAACACTCTGATTCATCTAAAAAGAGTCCATGTCAAAAAAAAAAAAAAAGGTCCAAAGTGGTATAAAGCAACTTTAGACTCCTTTACTTGACAGCCTCAGCTTCCTATCTGTAAAATAACCCATACGGTTATTATGAGCATGAAATGAGATAATCTTCATAAAGTACTTAGTATAGTTGCCTAGAGGTCAGTAAATGTTAGTTATCCTCACTAAATAGTAATCGCTTTTGTTCCCTTCATTACTTAAGATCCTTCTCTGTAGTAAAAATCCTTAGCTCCAAATTGAATTCAATAACCCAGTCTAATCCAAACAGTGCAGAGTGCAATGAGTTTCTATTTTCAAACAAATCATCTAATAATTATGCAATTAAAAATTTCTTGAATGCAATCTTTTTTTTCTTGTATTACTTTAAGCCTCCAATTTCCAGTTTGTTAGGTATATTTTAATCCTGATTGTGGCATTTGTCATGTTAATTCTACCTTCTGTTTCTGTGTCACCTGCACATTTGGTGAGTTTGTTGACCAGACATTCAAGTCATTGATAACATATGGGACAGGTCCCTTTGCTATGGGGCACATCTGGGAGCCTGTGGCAGAGTAGAAATGGTCCTGGACTTTTGGAGCTTAGTTTTAGAGTCTGGCCCTGATCCTACTAGCTTCATGACCTTGAGAAACTTCTTTTCCATGTTAATGAAATGAGGTTAGTACCATCTACCTTTCAGGGTGGTGGTTAGAGGTCAGGGTGCTGAAAGTGCCAAGTACAATACTGGTTGGGGATCTGGTTAGCTCGGTAGATACCATGAGGCTAATTAATGAATCAGCTGAGCTCAGCACTGTGCTTATTTATCAAATGATTCTAGCTCATAGATCAGTCTTCTTTATAAGGACATCATGAGAAAACTTTTAATCGAATGCCTTGCTAAAAGATCTTGCGTATTCTCTGATCTGTCACAAAGTAAATGACATTTGTTTAAAAGTGGCTGTTTCTTAGTTAACTGGTAATTCCTGGGCATCCCCAACCTTTTTCCCCCCAGATGTTCCCTGTTTACTGATTAAATCTTGAATTTCGCCACAGAGATTGGTATTAAACTAACTGGTCTGTAATGCCTAGGGATTCTAATTGTGTCCTTCAGTTTTGATTTTTTTTCAAAGAAAGGTAAGCGATTTTTATTGACCCAGAACTTCTTAAAATTTTATTTTTTTCAATTACAGTTCACTTTCAATATTACTTTGTATTGGTCTCAGGTGTACAATTAGCAGGTTGGGGGGG